TGCAGTTGAAGCTGAAGTAGTCATTGACTGGTAGGACATTGTAGCAGATAATTTTGTGTACTACGCTTAAGTCCAACCATAGGTGGCGTAGTTCAAGATTGTCCAAGCCCAAAATTTCAAGTCTGGTGATATAGGGTATTCCGTTGAGAGCAGAGGAGTGTAGTACTCTTCTCGTGAAATACTTCTGGACTCGCTCAGTTGTATTAATGTACGATATACAGTGCAGATTCCAGACAGATGAGCTGTATTCGAGTATTGGTCTAGCAAAGGTTTTGAATGCCCTAGTTAGCAATTCAATATTTCCAGAGGAGAAGCTTTGTAAGATTAGATTTACAAATCTTAATGCCTTTTTGGCAATGCTGTTACAGTGAGCTCTGGCGCTTAGGTCATTAGATATGAGTATTCCTAGGTCCTTGACAGAGTGAGGGTCATCAACAAGGTCATATCCGCCTAGTTTGTATTTGGTGTACTGATTTTTTTTACCAATGTGTTGGACAGAGCATTTGTTGGTCGAGATTTGGAGTTGCCAATTGTTTGACCATTCAGACACATAATCAAGGTCACAGTAGAATTGTCGGTGGTGTTGAATAGTTTTACATCATCCGCAAAGAGGATGCAGTTGCTAATAAGGTGATCGCAAAGGTCATTTATATAGAGTATAAAGAGTGTGGGTCCTAAAACGCTGCCTTGGGGGACACCACTGTTGACTGGAGCAGGGTTTGATATAGCGCTCCCTATTTTTACTATTTGTTGCCTGTTTGACAGGAATGCAGTAATCCACTTATGAAGGGATCCGGAAATGCCGTAGGAGTTTAGTTTTAACAGTAGTTTGTCATGCACCACTGAATCAAAGGCTTTGCAGAAGTCTATGTAAATTGTGTCTATTGCTTTACCCTGGTTCTAGTAGAGTAGTCCATATGTTTTTGCTGTGTAGGAGTTGTAGGTTGCAGGACAATTTTTTTCTGAAACCAAATTGTTTTTGGGAGAGTAGGTTGTTTGACTCTAAGTGGAGGGTTAATGATTGATTCCATGACTTTGCACATGACACAACACAGTGAGATTGGTCTGTAGTTTTCAACCAGGCTGGGGTCACCTTTTTTGAAGATAGGGATGACCGGAGCTAAGGACCATAGGTTCGGTATGGAGCTGGTTCTGAATGATATATCTTATATAATGCTTAGGGGTTCTGCTATGGCAGAGGAAAGCTTTTTTAAGAAGTATGCACATAATCCATTGGGGCCAATAGTTAGGGATGGTTTTAGATTATGTAATGCCTTTTCTATGTTATCTTCTGTAAAGTCAATATGTATTAGATCATTGCAGTTTGTTGTGGTACGACTAGGAAGTGTGGGGCATGAGCCATTGCTGTTAACAAAGACTGAGCTGAAGAATGTGTTGAAGAGGTTGGCCTTAACAGCTTCATCGCTGCAGTCTTTCCCATTTGGTCCCTTTAGAGGTGGGATGGTTCTTGAGTCTTTAAGTTTGGTGTTTACAAAATTGTAGAAGGCGTGGGTAGATTTTGTATGTAGGAAGTTTTCCTCCTGTTTGCAGTAATAATTTGTGCATTCTGCCTTTATCTGTTGGCATAAGGTGTTGTATCGGTTTTTAAAGTTTACTACATAGCTAGCTTTGTTTTTATGCCATAGTGATTTTTTTTTATTGGAGTTTTCTTACTGTTATGAGTAATTTTTGTTTTGTTTTGTTTTTAGGGGTTACTAATGGTACATATAGTTTAATGACTCTTTCAAGTTCAAGTAAGAATGCATTATAATGGTCTTCTGTAGTATTACAGTTAGAGAACAGAATGTGCCAATCAAGAGACGATAGGTTGGCATCTATGAGATCATAGTTGGTTTTTTGAAATTGTATTTTGGAGATACATCATTATGATCTTCTTTGTGAGGGCGTAAATTGAGACAAAAGTCAATCATACTGTGGCCACTGTTAGAAAAGGGCTCTTGTATTTGTAGGCCATAAATTGAGTTTGAGCTGTGGCCATGCTTAGTAAGATGAGGAATTCATGCATTTTGTTTGCAAGGCTTCTTGCGTTGAATAGTTTGCATTTTAGATATGTACTAGTGTGTCTGG